TAAAATACACTTTCTATCCCTTTTTCTCTCTCTTCTTCTTCTGGTACCCCTGTAATGCAAATGTTGTTCTGTTTTGATTGGTCACACAGTTCTCTTAATATTCTTTTATTCCTGGAGATCCTTATATCTCTCTCCCTCAGCTCCTCTGTATTTCTGTTCTCTGATTTGTATTCCATTAATGGTCTGTTGCACCTCATCCAGTCTGCTCTTAAGTCCTTCCAGAGATTGTTTTATTTCTGTATTCTTCCTCCTAACTTGATCCTTTAGCTCTTGCATATTTCTCTGCAGGTCCATCAGCATGGTTATGACCTTTATTTTGAATTCTTTTTCAGGAAGATTGCTTATATCTGTCTCCCCCAGTCCTCTTTTGGGGGTTGTCTGTGTGATTCTGGACTGGACCAAAGTCTTCTGCCTTTTCATGGCAATAGAGGTAGTTGTAGGCAGTTGGCACATGTGTCAGCTGGGAGAACAAGTCCCTTCATTCTTGCTTGTTGCCCTGTCCCTCTCTGCTGCCTGTGTCGGTCACCCTCACACCTGGAGCAGCGTCCAGGTTAATCCCCTGAGCCGTTGCACATGGGGGCAGCCCAGAGCCCTGTGTGGAGAGGCAGGCCCACCGGGTGTGCTCTCCTGAGAGAACGGCACCCCTTTGCACTCTGCTTCATCTTCCTCTGCCTGTACTGGGCAGCTGCACACCAGCAGTGGCCTCGTGTCTGGCCCAGGCAGCTGCACTCCAGGAGGAGACTCGAGATTCTGGGCGGCTGCTGTGAGCGTGGCCAGTCTCAGTCTGCTCTGCCGCTGTAGGGGCCGTGTTGGAGGGGGAATGAATGGCAGGCTGTTTATTGCAGTGCAGGGTTTCAGCGCTGTGCTGCCTCCCAGGGGGCTGGGGTGTCCGAAGCTCCTCAGAATTCCCAGCCTGCTGGGCTGAGTGTGCCGGGACGATTCTATCCCGCTGTGAGGCCCCTGTCCCTTTTAAGTCTCTCAAAAAGCACTCGCTTTTCTTTTGTCCCAGGGGAGCCAGCTGCGGGGACCCGCTCACAGATTTTACTTTTCCATTTCCCTAAGATCCAGCACACCAACACTGTGTGTCTGTGCTCCCGGTGTGGATTACTAGGGCTGGTTATTTAGCAGTCCTGTCTTTAAGCTTCTTGCTGGGATTCAAGTATGTTCAGTTGTGTGATATTGGGAATAGCCTATAGTTTGATAACCAATATATTGGACTTGTCAAATTGTATTTTTATTCAGAGTATTTTCATTTTATTAATCCCAATATTTCCTGTTTCACCATAATATTAAATTCTTCCTGTAGCAAAATAAAGGAAAATAATCATTCCTCTTGGTTTTCCATATTTTAGTTCTCTTTTAGAATAGTGTTGAAGTGTCACTTTTTAAAAATTTAATAATTATAATATTTAATCATTGTATGATATAACTTGATACTTTTATTAAACATACTTTATATTTTTATTATAGATCTAAACTTAGTCTTTTTCAATCAAGAATCAGTTTACAGAAGGCAAGCGTGAAGGTGAGTTTTTGGAAACTGTATTGCACCATTGAGATGTCTTACATTACAAAAAGAATTGGGTCTTTTGAGGGCTGAGGTCAATTATTTCCTCCTAATTTATAGAAGTATCTTGAAGTCATTACCTTAAGGAAGACTTTCCCAGTTCACAGGGGTTTTCATCTAGGTGCCATTACTTTGGATGATGCTTCCATCTCAAGATTGCTTTAGAGATACGTGTCTAAATGTTACCTGCTTAGGTAACCTTTGTCTTTAACTCAGTCCAAAAGATTTAGTCCATGAGCTTTAGAAAGCTCTACAAAATCCATTTGATTCAGATTTACACCCCCAAACACATTCTTTGAGCCAGATGCAAGTTAGTTTTTCCTGTGGGATCTGTGAGCTGTGGAATATCTGGTAAGTAAGCTTAGTGACTGACCTACCTTGGGCTGCCGGGCTGCCAACTAGCATGCAGTTCTCTTGGCATGTCAGGACTGTTTATATTTTTGCAAATGGTAGGATTTGTTTTCTTCTTATGGCTGAATAATATTCCATTGTGTATATTACCACCTCTTCTTTCTCCATTCATCAACTAATGGACACTTAGGTTACTTCCATATTTTGGCTATTGTAGGACTGTTGATTATTTTTTTTTTTTAAACTGTTTGTAACTCCAACAGATTTATCCTTGTCTTTGAAGATACGGTACTTAATTTAGGAACTTTATTTTCCCATATGAATAAAATGAGCAAAACATTGTAAAGTTTCCTAAAATTCTTTGTAAGAATGTTAAGTGTAAATAACGAATATTTTTAAACATTCTTACCGTGTGTAACAGTTCTAGTGACTATTTAATTCCTTAGTAGTATAGAATATTTTTTATATGCATAAAAATGTTTCTCTACATGGTCAACTTTACTCTTGTTAAGAGCCATTAATTGCCAACTAGGAGTGGTATTCTCATATGTTTTGTTGTGCAATATCAGTTTGCATTGATTTTTTTCTTTCTTTTACTATTTTAGTTAAAAGCTCGACGATCTGAGTGCAATTCCAAAGCAACCCATGCGAGGAATGATTATCTTCTCACATTAGCAGCAGCAAATGCCCACCAGGATCGCTACTATCAAATAGATTTAGTTAACATTATGAAGGTAATACAGCTTAATATTGGTGGTAATTTTGTTTCATTAAAGACAAAAACAATTCATGAATTGAGTGTTGGATATATGGTATTGAGTGTGTAGAATAGCAGTTAGGCATCTTTGCCGTTAATTGGAACATACTTAATATTGTTTGGACAACCTCTGTTTCAGGTAATTCTGAATTAATTTTTAGCCTAAGAAAATGTTTAAAGCCAAATCACAGTGAAGGACTGTATTAAATCCCTAAACTGCAGCAGCAGATATTTACAGTAATTATTAATACATAAGATAAAGATTTTTTTAAAGCTTAGATTTTTAAAATTTCATAGTCTTTATCCTCAATTGATAAGTAAATTTGTACATTAATATTTTATGATTTTGAGATACCTGTGGGGAAAAGAAGAGAAAAGGCCTAGTAGTTATATGAAAATGTCACTACCCTGAGTAGATCACTCTGAAATATGGAGAGATTAGATTGCAGTTTCTTTGTTCCCAATTTGGTCTTTCCCTGTTTATACACCTAAATGTATCTTTAACTTTCACTGAAGTAAAGGAAAAGGGGTAGAGGAAAAGAAACCCTTTTAACATGTTGCCAGGTTTCCTGTTGTTGCTGCAGACAAGTTCTGCTTTGAATTATGTCTCATTCTTTCAAGGACTCAAACATTTGATTATTCTGTCTTCGAGTTTTCAACCCATTTTTGTCAGATGCATTGTTCTTAATGGCTATCAAACACATCATTTTCACTGAATTGCTTGCTTTATGGATTAGAGGTGTTGAGAGCAGGCGTGCCACAGGAGTGGACACTCTTTTTTCTATAGTGGCTCTGAGGAAGAGATAAACCCTGTTCAGAAATTATAAGTACTTTCCTTGAAACTAGAGACAGGACAGTTCCTGGAACCTTCAGGGAACATGGGAGTGATAGAGTCAAACTGATTAAGAAGTATCCTATTACAAAATTTTTTCTTTCCTTTTTGCTCATGACCTGAATCCCCATTTCTTTCCTGTTATGATTTCTGTTTAGAACATGGGTAGTGAGAGAGCCAAGGGTTTGTTTTGACATCTAGATGAGAACTCTGCATGTTTCTTAAGAAAAATGTTGGACCTACAAATTTAGGTATTTTAATATCTTATTAGATGTTACATGGTGCTTCAGACTTACAGGGACCAACTGAAGATTTGGCTTCCCATTATGACATGGTTTTTTCTGGGGAAATACATGTTCTTAGTTTCAAATAATTCATTTATTAAAGAAGATTTTTAGTACAGCTTGTGCTTACGGTTATGATTCCCTAAATATTGTTCTCTGTTAAATCAAAGCTGTTAACTATGTATTTTCCCCCTTGAATACTTTTAAATGAATGCTCTGTTAGTTTCATCAGAAGCAAAAATAAATTCTGTATGTTTTTTAAATGGACTACACAGCCAAAAAAGATCTCTTACTTAAAACCCTATGGCCTTTATAAACCAGGAAAGGTACGCTATTATTTGGGGAATTTGCTCTTTGCCAAAAACAAAGAAGTTAATGAACCTGGCCAGCTTTCATATTATATATCGTTGAATTTACTTTGAAGTCCTCATACAGTGTTTGATCAGCACTGTGTAGGTTATGCTTCATATTACTCATTTCATAAAACCTCTTATAGTACTGAAATGATAAAAATAGAGGCAGGAATCCCTCCTCTTCCTTAAAAATAGGAAAATATATCCTCAATTTTCATGCTGTGTGTGTTAATTCATTTTCTTCCTCATGGCACAATTCTGTAGTCTACTGTGCTGGAAAACTCCCACCAGTCATATTGTTAGCTACTTAGTAAGATTCTTTCATTACATTGACAGTGACCCCTCAGTGCCTTTCTTGGAAATGTCTAATTTCTGATTTGTTGTTAAGGTTATAATGCCCTAACTAGAATTTCTTTTAAAAAGTACATGATTAGCTTAGAAGCAGGAGATTTGATTTATTAATTTAATCATATACATTTAATAGTCACTTATACTGTGGCAGCTACTGGGTTAGGCTTTGTGAAGAAGCAAAGATGAGTGAGACACTCTCCTTATTCTCAAAGAGCTCAATCTGGTGGAAGACAGAGATACATAAAAGTGATGACAAATTAGAATAGTGAAATCACTTAAGTACACGAAGACTGTGGATAGTAGTAATACAACTTTTTTTTTAATTGCTTATTATCCTGGCATTATAATCACTTTAGGCATATTGTCCTTCCTCACTTTCTTCTTTATCCTCGTTAGAGTCCATAGTTTATTATTTATTTAACACTTTGGTCTATAAATGAAATGGAATCGAATTCCAACTCTAGTTGAACCCAGATAACCTTTCTCTGGACCTACATCTGAATAGCCAAGTACTGCTGAAGAAAATCTCAAAATAGAGTAGATTTGTGAATTAATGTAGGACCAGCCTCAAATGGACCCTCAACACTGCTCAGATAATTCTGTGTTTCCCCTCATTAATCTCTCCTACTATTTTCAACATTTTTTTCCAACTTTTCGTCTTCTCCTGAGTCCTCCAAACCCCTTCTCTTGCACTTAGCAAGTGTCCTCCAAACCCCTTCTCTTGCACTTAGCAAGTGTTCTTTCTTCCTATCTTCCAGAGAGAATAGACGTCATTAAAGAGAATTCCATTATTGTATTGAAGTCTCCTTCCAAGTAATCTCAGTAGCAGAGTTCTGCTCTAAATAAGATCTTTCACCTCAGCTTTGAATCATATCTCAAGCCCTCCTGCCTTTTCAGGGATCAAAACCATTGATTATTCTATGTTCTCCTTCTATTTCTCGGACATTCTATTCTTAGGTTAATAGTTGATGGAACTTAGTAATGGCAACCCTCTTGATGTCTGTCTTGTGTTATATACCTCCAGTCTGGATTAAGTGCCTTCAGCGTCTAATGCAGTGTACTTATTTGGAGATCTTTGCCTCTCTCCTGTGTTGCATCTCCAGTTTTCTGTATCATGTCTATATTTTTTTTGGTTTACTCTTCTTTGGTGGAATACATCCTCCAGTACTTTCTTGAGAGAGTCATCATGAGAGAGAGGTTTCTTGAGATAGTTTATTATGAAAATGTCATTATTCTATGTTCCTGCTTAGGAGTAGAAGTAAAGGTTGAAAAACATTTTTATTCAAATGTTGAAGCCAATGCTCATTTTCTTGTTTCCTGTGCAGGTATTGAGAACTCAGAGCCTTCTGATTCTTGATTCTTTTTATTTGATCTAGTGTTTTTTCTTTTTAGAATCTTAGGAAATATTCTCAGTATTCCCTTTGCTTCTTTGATTAATTCTTCACTTTTATTTTTTCTTTCTGGAACTCCTTTTATTATGTTGGATCTCTTGGGTTAGTCCTTTAAGTTTCTTTTTTCTCTTGTTTTACCTCTTTGTCATTATACTCTACTATCTGGGAGACTTAATCACTTTAGAGTTCCACTCTTTCATCAAATTTTAAATTTTTTCAATATGGTCTTAATATCCTTTTTGTTCCCTGAATGTTCCTTTTTTTTTTTAAATTATTGATACACAATCATATGATAGCTTCAAATACTCAACACAGTGGTTCAACATTCACCTATGTTACCAAGCCCTCACCCCCTCCAGTGCAATTACTGTCTATCAACGTAGTAGGTGTTACAGAATCATCAACTTTATTCTCCATGCTGTACTGCCTCCCATAAACAACCTATATTGTAATTGTGAATTATTGTGCCCCTTAATCCCCTTATCCCTCCTCCCTCCCATTCTCCCCAACCCCTCCCCTTTGGACCTACTAATCCATTCTCGGTGTCTGAGTCTACTGCTATTTTTTTTCTTCTGTTTTGCTTTGTTGTTATACTCCACAAATAAGTGAAATCATTTGGTATTTGTCTTTCTCTGCCAGGCTTATTTCACTGAGCATAAAACCTAGAGACATCCATGTTGTTGCAAATGGTGAGATTTCTTTTCTTTTTATGGCTGAATAATATTCCATTGTTTATATGTAATACTTCTTCATCCATTCATCTGTTGATTGCTTCCATAACTTGGCTATGGTAAATTATACAGTGATAAACATAGGGGCGCTTATGTCTTTTTGAAAAAGGAATCTTGTTTTCTTCTGGTAAATATCTAGGAATGGAATTCCTGGGTCAAATGGTATTTCTATTTTTAGTTTTTTGAGGAACCTCCATATTGCTTTCCACAATTGTTGCACCAATTTACATTGCCACCAACAGTGTAGGAGGG